CATAGTGCGCCAATAAAAGCACTTGTAGAATTTGAACCACTCTATATAATTTGATAACAATTGGTGCAAATGTAGCCAATAGTCACACGAAACTCTGTACAAAATTTCAGCCTGATTATATGACTGGTGTAGGATTTATTGCAGTTTTAGTTGAAGTTTTGTTAGTTTTTTGCTACTTATATCTCAAAGCCTTACCGATTACTTTGAAATTCTATTTTTAAAATAATGGTTACATGAGTGTTCTACTATGTAATACCAACAATTTTTGTTATAGTTATTTTATTGGTACAGTTTTCATTTTATAGACCATAATAGTGATTTACTACTTAAAGCATGATTTGAATTGGCTTATGCCAATGGCGTTGACATGTCCTACAAAGAGGAGGGGTCAACCCCTCAATTTCTAAAATAATATCCATAGTTTCTAAAATAATTGCTTATATTTCTAAAACAAAAGGTCCTCGCAAAAAATAAGTGGGCAGGCCATAGCTCCCTGGACAGCCAATAATGCATAGCGTGAATATACCAGTATTTCCTAAGGTATAAACTACTGCCAGAATGCAAAAAAAAAATTTAGAAATGGTTAAGAAGGATTTCTCGGGATACCTACAAAGAAAATAAAAATATTTATCTGAAAACAGAACAAATGTGAAAAAACCAAATATTTTTTAAATTGACAAAGATAATTGACTTTAAAAATTTAGATAAGTTAACTAAGATATCTGACCAATACAAATTTTGGAGGAAAGTTACTCTAACTGAATAACTAATTAGGTTGAAGGGTTGTTTTGAAATAAAACAACCCGTGTGACAAGTATCATTAGTTTAATGTGTGACAATTTTCAATAACGTAATTTCCTTACATGTAAATAGTTTAAACAATTGTTTCCTGGTAAGGAAAGAACTATTCAAGAATTATTTCCTTGTAATTTAATATTACCTCAATTAAATCAAGTAAATATTTTCTTTATTTTAATCGTTTTTAATTAATAATATGTGTTACTATGTTAAGTGGATTGTTATCAAATATAAATTTTGGTCAAATTTTGTAAAAGACAGAGTTTGATTTAGTGAAGTCAAATTTAATGAATTGCTACGATGCCAAATCAAGCAAAGAATCATAATGAAAATCAAAAGTTTGTGTGCTTACTCTGTTTGAAAAAATGTTTAAGACAGCTTACTACTTTTCAAGCAGATTGAATATGCCAACTGTACAAGACCAAGATCAATATCAGTGATACTCTGGTACCAAAATGATTCTGCGAATTGTGTAGAATTACTTTGCGCAGGAAACAAGAGTATAAGGAACTTGCACTCCCTCCTATGTTTGATTTCAAGTCAATACAAGTGAGACCTGAAACAAGAGAAATGATGTGTTGTTGCCTGATATGCCAAATTGGTTTCAAAGCTGCAAGAAAAACATCCTCTTATAGAGCAAACCACTATTGAGAAAAAACCAAGGATGCGTTGCAGCAAATGCGTCAGCCCTTTAGGAAAAGGTTTGCCCCTCCAATGCTCTTAAATAATGTTAAAGGAAAACATTCAATCTTTTGCAGCAAAAAATTCCAAATCATCTGAATAAATTGCATCTCGAGTTATTTCCAATAAAGAATTATCTCCGGAAGGAACTATTTTACTGGCTAAAGCATCCGGCGGGCCTCCACTTACAGTTACCCCTGGTAAGTATTTATACTTTAATAATTTTAACATATATATTGAAATAAAGTCTTGATTATTAAGAAATAACACTAGATATATTTCAAGAAGTATTTTTTTGACAAGTTTCTAATTTCTTTAATAATGAATAATTTGAAAGTTTTACACAAATTTACTAAACAAAGTTTATTGTAGCTATAAAATATGTATGTTTTGGTTTTAGGTCAAAGTAGTGAGCAGACACCATCAAGTGCTTTGAAATTGACCACTGTAGCCCTTCTAAATGTGCAATTAAATACGGGCCTGTCAAATAACAGATTAAAAAAAACTTGTTAGATCTATAAACAAAACATCAAGCAGCAAGATGGTAGAGCAAAATTTTTACATGAATTTTCTAAGACTTGGTCAACAATTGAGCGATTTCTTCACCTGCAGCGACTTAAAAATTACAGACAAAAAAACAGATTCTTGCACATTTCATGTTGTTGCTCACTCCAATGATTTATCAAGTCTTGTGAATCATGTTATTCAGTCCCGCAAAATTTTTGGTGGCTATTTTTTTAAGCTCGGAATTGATGGTGGCAAAGGTTTTCTCAAGTTTTGCCTAAGTATTGTTGATAATGCGATAAGGGATGAAACCAGCTCACCGCACCAACAACAACCTCTCACTCAAAGGACTGGTAAAGACACTGGAGTCAAGAGACAAATTATTGTTGGGGTTTCAGAAGATTTGCCAGAAACACACTTCAATATTGAACAAATCTGGTCACTGATTAATGCAAATGGAGTTAAAATAATTTTTGGCTTGTGATATGAAAGTTGCAAATATAATTTGCGGTCTTCAAATTCATTTAAGTACGCACCCTTGCACCTGGTGTGATGTCAAATTCAATTGTCTTGCCAAATCTGGAAACTTGCACACACTGAGCTCAATTAATCTGTCTGTCAATGGTCTGATTTTGGAAATCATTCCACCGATGGAATTGCATCTCCTCTTAGGAGTTGTCAACCACCTTTTCAAGATCCTTAAAACTGCTTGGATAGAAGCTGTTAAGTGACCAGCTGCCCTCCACATTTAACTGAGCTCATATCACAGGGGCCAGTTTGAGTGAAATGAATGCAGGAAGCTTCTTAAAAAAGTGGATATGCTGCAGCAACTTGCTGAGACAAACATGGTTCCCAATATTTTGTGCATAATTGAAGCATTCAAAAGCTTCAATTTAGTAGTCAAGGTTTGCTTTGGATACATCCTTCAGCCGGATTTCGCTGAAAAAATTGAAAATTTCAAAAAGTGTTACCTGATGATAACTGGTGCAAGCGTAACACCCAAAATTCACGCCATCTTTTACCACATCAAGGATTTCATCAATCACAAAGGGTCCTTCTTGGGGCCCTATAGTGAACAAACTGTCGAAACTTCTCATCAAGATTTTTATCAACATTGGTTGAGGTATAAGCGAAATAATAATCATCCAGAGTACAAAGAAAGATTGTTGCGCTGCATAATTGATCTAAACAGTAAGCATCTTTAAAAAACATAATTTGAGTTATTAGAAATTAGGCTGCTGAAATTCATATTTTACGGCGTATAATGAATATTTTCACCATCTTCATAAGTAGTATAATAGAGTATTTGTATTAAAAGAGTACATTGAGCTATTTATTAACAATCTTTTGGTGGAGAAAATCAAAAAAACATTTCTTAAAATGTAATTAGATATTTGATGGTAATACTATGTAAAAAATAGGGTTTAAACAGTTTTTACTTCATTTTAAGAGTAAATGTATTTAAGGAGGTCAATACAAAATATTTTAGGAGATCTACTTTTTTTTTTGTTTTACTAACTGGTAGTCCTTTGACCAGGTTTTTCACTTTTTTTTAGCTTTTTTTTTGGCAGCAGTTTATACCTTAGGAAATGTTGGTATATTCAAGAGCAGCATAAATGGCCGTCAACGCCGGGGAGGCTCGGGGGTCATGTCCTTCTCTACTTATTTTTTGTGAGGACCTTTTGTTTTAGAAATGTAAGCAATTATTTTAAAAAATTATGGATTTTATTTTAGAAATTGTGGGGTTGACTCCTTCCACTTTGAAGGCCATGTCGACACTATTAGCATAAGACTATTTAAATCACGCTTTAAGTAGAAAATCACTATTTTGGTTTATAAAATGAAAACTGTACATGTACCGATAAAATAATTATAACAAAAATTGTTAGTATTTCATAGTAGAACACTCATGTAACCGTTTTTTTTTAAATAGTGATCGAATTTCTAAGTAATTGGTAACGCTTTGAGGTATAAGTAGCAAAAAACTGACAAAACTTCAACTAAAACTGCAATAAATTCTACACCAGTCATCTAATCAGGCTGAAATATTATAGGTGACTTCTAAAGTTAGATTATACACATTAAATGGGTTTGTGGACAATAATATATTTTTATTTTGAATGAATAATTATCCTAATATAATAAAATATATACACAGGTAATTCTTTAATTTTAATTATATATATATATATATATATATATATATATATATATATATATATATATATATATATATATATATATATATATATATATATATATATATATATATATATAAATATATATATAAATTATTTTAGTGTCTTCTACAAATAGAGTACCCAATGTTCTTAAAGAACAGAGCAATAATAATTTAGTAAAAACACTTATCTAATTTTTGTGCTCTTCTACCACAAAAAATAACATATTTATATGTTATTTTTTTGTGGTATGAAAAAATATGTTATTTTAATTTTAATTATTTGTTTCCATAGTTCTTTTGATTAAATATATAGCATAAAAAATTTAAGTTAATGATAGCATAATGAGGCATGAATAAAAAAAGTTCTGTTTTCTGAAAAAATACAAATATAAATCAATTTTTAAAATTGTGCACACCTGCATAACAATGAGTCTCTGGTCACATTTTAATGCTTAATAAGTTTTAAGTTGAAACAAGTTTATATATATATATATATATATATATATATATATATATATATATATATATATATATATATATATATATATATATATATATATATATATATATATATATATATATATATATAAATCATGCAAAAAGTAATTTCATCAAAAAATCATGCAAAAAGTATAATTAAAAATAATATATATTTAGTTTTAATTTTTTTAATACTTAAAAAAAATTTGTGCAGTAAAAATGCTTTTGAAATTGTATTGTAATTTGTATATAAAGATTATTTTATATATTATGCTTATTTAGTAATCTTTACTTTGTGATTCACAATAAACTATTTCAATGACTTTTTTAATACTAGTTTGTAAACTTTATTTAGCTTTATGGACACCATGGAAAATTTGGTCAAATTGTAGTGTTTTATCTGAAACTGGATTTTTAAACAGAACAAGAGAGTGTAATATATCAAATAGTGCAGAAAACTGTTCTGGCAACATCACAGAATTTGTTCCTTGCTTTTCAAATATATCAAATTTAGGTTAGCTTTTTTTTTTAAAAAAAATTGTTTTTTGTTTTGTTTTTTGTGTTTTTTATTTATAAAATATACAAGGCAAATGAAAATGAAATGATAGTAAGTATAACAATAGCATTAATAAATAATAATGAAATGTTTCTAAAATTAGATTATTTTTATATAACTGAAAATTGGTTAATACTAAAATGAAATATAGTGGAAAATTTTTTTTGTTTAAACCTTTTGGTTTTTGTTTGATGGCATGTTTAAATACATTTAGTTGGTTGTTTAAAATCATCATAGTTGGGTCTTAGAGCCGGTCTTCTGAATGTGTCTTGCCTATGAAATCCTACACTAATTTGATGTGTCTTTTAGCCCTGTCATTAACAACTGTTAATTGGTGCACACTGGATACAAATTTCTTAAAAAAAATGTTCGGGAGTTTTTTTCATGTTTGACAGGCCTTCATTCTTCAATGAGACAATGCCTTCTTTGGTTATACCAAGTTGGAGAAAAAAGAGATAGATCTCCTTATAAATGAAGTCTGATAACTTTGAGAGGAAATTGATTTTCAACAATAAAAGATCACTATATAATCTATTGCATTTTGTAGCATCTGAATTTCATGAATGACATTAAATGCTTATTTTAGCTCCTCTTTTTTTTGTTGCTAACCAATACAATTAGCCATGAAACTTGTTCTAGGGTGTACACCAGATTCAGTCAAGCAGCTATTAAATAGTTTAGAGAATGGAAAAGACAATTAAAAATAGCCTAATGAGAATTGAAAAAACAAGTTTAAATGCAAAAAAATTTAAAATACTTGGCCTACCCATAAGGGTTTGTGTTACGGTCATCTAGTGCAGCTATTTTCCAAATACAATTACTGTCAGATGGTGAAATTAAAGTTTTATTTTTTTTCTATAAACTATATTATTCAATTATTTTAAAGCAAATTATTTTTGACAATTCATTTAATTAATATATTTTTTTGCATCTCAGTATGCTCTGCCATAATTTATGAGGTTGGTGTTAAGAGTGAGAGACCACTGTAAAGGGTGTTGGGTGTGAAGAATAACACTATTTAACTAAATGGTAAATTTAACTTAAGTAAGTTTTATTAATTTATTTTAGAGTATATGGCTTTTTACTACAGCAACCATGACATTTTTAAAATAGAGACAAGCCACAAAGATATTTGATAGAGCTTTAACCTTGCTAGACCAATACTAAAAAGGCATTTTTTGTGGCTCACCCTTAACACACCTTAAATGATTATAGCAATAATGAAGATTAATGAGATTATATGATATAATGAGATAATAAGATATAATGAGATTAATGAAGATAAATACAAGATAAAGATCATAAATGATTAAAGATTAAAAATCATGATAAAGATCAACAATGTAAAATCAAGACAATCAAGAATTAATGATCGACAAAGTTTAAAAGAATGATAAAGATCATGATCATGGGTTTAAAAGCGTAATAAAGATCATGAATCAAGAAAAACAAAGTTAAAAGTTGTAAAAGAACAACATAAAGTTATAAAAAAGAAAATTAATCATAAAAGAACATCTTAAAAAGAGTTGTACTTAATGCAAGAACATATTTATAAAGTTTCCATAGTAATAAAATGACTTAAAATGAGATAAAATAAAATAAAATGAGATATGATAAGTTAATAGAAGATAATAAAGATAACTTTAAGATAATAAGGTGAAAAGGTGACTTTAAGGTAACTTTAACTTAACGTAAACTTAAGATGAAAAAAACTGTGATATTAAATAATCTTTTTAATGATGTTAAACTGACAGGTTGTTCTAATGATGTTGTAAACATGGTGTTTTTAGTATTTAAACACATTTTTTTGTAAGATCAATAACCTAAATTTTTGCCTTATTAGTCTTGTAAACATTATAGTAATATAGAATTATAAAAAAATTTAATATATTTACCTCCCTATGACCATGAGGACCAAGTTAAGTGCAGTACTTACAGTTAATTTATTAATTAATTTATTTCCATATTTCTTGCTTACTAAGCATTTCAATTAAACTATTACTTTATTACTTGCATTATTATTCTATTTTAAATAATGTAATCTTTACATTATTATTCTATTTTATACAATGTAATCTGTACATTATTATTTTATTTTATACAATGTAATACTAATCTAACATTTTTGTAGCGCAACTCAAAAACATTTTCTTTGTCTCGGTGTGTACAAGTTTTAAAAAAAAGGCACATAACTACCCTTATGGAAAATTTCCATGAAAAAACCCATGAAAAAAACCCATGGAAAAACCATGGTTATTTGGAACACGTTTTCATTGGAAACCCATGAGTTTTTCATGGGAAATCCATGAGTTTCTTATGGGAAACCCATGAGTTTTCAATGAAAACCCATGAGTTTTTCATGGGAAGTTCATGAGATTCCTATGGGAAACCCATGAGTTTTTAGTGGAAAACCCATTAGTTTTCATAGTAAACCGTGATTTTCCCATGAAAAACCCATGAGTTTTCCATGGAAAAGTGTTCCAAATACCATGGATATTAAATGATTTTCCATCCATGGAAAAACCATGGAATTTCCATAGGTATTAGGAACACCTTTCCAAGGAAAACTCATGGATTTTTCATGGTAAAAAAGCGTGATTTGTTTTCAAGTTTTTTTGATCTAATCTTATTTGAATTGTCATATTAAATCATAAAAGCAAATTTTATCACACTAATATTATTGAGTTCTCTTAATCTGTGGGATCGCTTTCTCCAAATAAAATCAATAAACAAAATAAAATTTAAATCTTGTTAAATCCTACAAATCTTTGAAAAATAATAGCTATAATGCACCTAAAACATCAAAACTTGACTTCCCCACAATATTTAATGCATGCATATGTATAACATACTGAAAATAAATAAAACAAAAAATTACAAGTAATATAATACTATAAGTGATATACATAGTGATAAAGAATTGAAATATATCAAGAAAACAATTTTTACTGAAAATAAAACAATTTAAAAGTTTATTATTTTATATTAACTATTTGATAAAAATAGTATATATAAATTTGATAATAACTTCAAGTTTTAACAAGTTAAAAAGAAACATCAATACAACATATTCAATTCAAAAAAATATCAAGCCCATTTATAAGTGCGACTGCACTGTGTCTGTAGAAACAGGTAGATGGCAAACAAAGTACCATTCACATTTTGATATTCATTATTTTTTTCACCGTAGTTAGTCTCATTCTCCATTTCATCAATCTAGACAATACATTATACAACTATTATATGTTATCTAACTAGTTTTCTTTATTTACTAATTAATTTTACTTATACTTATTATACACAATTATGAATGTTACCATATGTTGGCTAACATTTATATAGAAAAAAGTAGCAATGAATATATCATTATTTATAAATAACAATTATTAGATTATAACCTCTTTTTCGCCTAAGCTATCTGCATAATGTACAACATCGTTTATATTTCCAGTCAAACATTCTTGCCTGTAATGTAACTTAATTAAAATGATTTATTCAAACTAATACATATATAAATGTTACCTGCATGTTAGAAACATTTATATAGAAGAAGGCAGCAACAAATATTATATTACTTATTTATTTTTGTAATTAAAAAAAAAACTTACTTCTTCATCTGAGCTATCTGCATGATGTACAACATTATTTACAAACCTATTTTCTTCACGTCCTTACCATCTTTATATATATTATAAAGTATGGAACTTGTTAATGAATGGCTAAATAAATAAATTAAAAATTTATATTGCCAGTCAAACCTGCCTGCTAATAATGTAGTAATTTAAATGAAATGATAAGGTTAAAATGAAAAGATTTATACACATATATAAATTTTACCTGCATGTTAATAACATTTATATAGAACAAGGCAGCAACAAATATATTATTACTTATAAATTGTAATTTTAAGTAAAAACTTACTTCTTTGTCTAAGCTGTCTGCGTGATGTACAACATTTATATTGTCAGTCAAACATGCTTATAATGCAGTAATTTAAATAAAATAATAAAGTTAAAATAAAAGAACTTATACACATACCATTAAATTCAAACATTTATTATATTTTTACTTTACTATTTAAAATATAACAAATATAATAAATATGTAATTTATAAATTATAGTAATGTAAAAGCATAATAAATATCAAAGTGTGTGCATAAATTAATTTATTTTAACTAAAGACAAGCACTTTGCATTAGTTAAATTAAAAAAAAATAATTTTATTATAATAAATAATAGTGTATTATTTATAAAAATTGCTTTTTTATGCTTATATTTAACTATGAAATAAAATCTTGAAATAAATTCCCTTTCTGATATTTTTAAAACATTACCACAGTTTTCCTTCTCCAACTAAGTGGTTCTTGGAACATCCTTACAAGTTGAATCCCAAAGATTATGTTTATATCTTTTCTGGTTAATTTAAACTCAATTCACCATTTCATTTTGACAGTTTTTGAACTACTTTTAAAAATGTTAAATGCATATAAAAACTGACGATCTTATAAATGATATAAATGATGAACAACATTATTTATATCACCAGTCAAACCTGTCGGCTTAAAATGTAGTAATTTAAATAAAATAATAAAGTAAATATAATAGAATTTATACACAATATTTATATTACATTATTTACATATTTTAATAATTCTAAAGAAAAAACAACAACAAAAATACAAAAACAACTTAACATAACTAAAATTGAATAGAACATTTTCATAAAAAAACGTTTTTTAATTCTTAATGAACATTTACCATACAATAAACTTCAAGCATTTTTATGTAATCTAAGGCTATTATTAAAAAAAATAAAAAAGATCGTACTAGTTATTTTTTGTACATTAGTCATCTAATCTTATTATCTTATCTTATCTTAGTTATCCAATCTTATCTGATATACTGCTTATATATTAATATACTAGATAAGTTTGTTTAATATGTTAGATAGTTTTAT